GAGACTGAGCTGAATACAGCACCTCAGACTGAGGAAGTCTCTTGGATGAGAGACGAAACGTTTCTAGATTTTTTTGCTTTGTTTTGTTTTTGTTTTTTTTGTTGAATGTCCAGAGGACCAGATTGAACTTTTTTGGACACTCCAACATCAACTTTTGACTGCTTCATAGGGACTTAACCAAGGGTTCCCAATCCTGGTCCTTGCGGAGCACCATCTTGCATGTTTTAGTCGTTTCTCTGCTCTAACACACCTGGTTTGAATTAATGTGTGATTAACAGGCTTCTGCAGAACATGAGGAAGTAAATCCCTGAATCAGGTGTGCTGGAGCAGGAAAACATGCAGGATGGTGTTCCTCAAGGACCACGGTTGGGAACCACTGGACTAAACCATCATAGAAGATGTATGGTTAACTCTAGCAGTGTTCCTATAACTAATAGGGATGGCAATCTTTAGGCAACTCACAATTTGACTGCAGATCAGAGGGCTGCAATGTGATTATAAAACAATTGTTGATTCCTCTTTAACTACTTTAAACCCAATCCTGAGCAGTAAATCACAGATAAACCCAAAATTTACTCTACACTGCTGTATAAAACCATTTTTGTTCAAACAAGATCTTTGGTACAAAAGCAATCAAAATGCCAGTACAGCTATCTTACCAGCGTTCGTCAGTGTTTCCACAACTTTGTTTTCTGTTCTGTTGTAGTGTGGCAAAAAGCTGTGATAATCATCTTTTGATTGGGACTCCAAAATGTGACGTGGTGCAAATCTTCGATCGCTGAAGTGCAGAACGCATATCTGTTGCACTGAACGTTGTAGTTTACTTCACCTTTTCAAAGTTGGATGAAAACCTTGACGTCTCTTGTTTGATACTCCTCTGTTAGCAGCAGCAGCTAGTAGCTACCACCAGCTGTTTTCTCTTCTTCGCGTGCGTTTGTCGCCAATGTTATTTTTCCCTTTAACTTCATAGAAGCCGAACTACTTCGAGTGGCTTTTAGTGCAAAAAGAGCCGTGTCTTGTGTCGGTCAAACAACTCCTTCCTGTCTTCAGAGATCCTCCTTTTTTGTTCCTCTACATCATATTAAGATTAAAAGATAATAAATGTTCTAAATTTTAAAGACGCCCAGAATTATTTATGATGCATCAAATCACACCTCTCAGCTAATGTCCTTTCAGTTTGGCACAACCCCTTTCAGAATCTTGAAGTTAATGAAAGGCCAGGGTTACACTTTAACAGCAGCTATAAGGTACTTTTTCCTGTTTTTTTTAAACAAGGAATACTTTTTCTGTGCTAAAAAGGTGAACGTATGAGAACATTTATACACTGAATATCAGTAGTTGGATATAAAAAGCAATGCATGCCTTTTTCCTGTACTTAATAAACACTAAATCGATTAGAGTAGTACTTTTACTGAACTAAAAACGGATATCATGCCATCTCTGTGTGCAACTTGTTTATTTTTTTCTTTAATCTGTGCCAGAGGAATTTGGATTGTGCATATCCATGGTTTCACACTGAAACAAACTGTCCACACTTTCCTTCTTTGAACATGTGTTCCACACATAATATTGCTTAAAAATAAGTTACAAACTTGTCAAGAGTAGATGCAATATGTTTGGGGTTTGTCATCGTTTTTAATATCTTACTGTGGGAATCTTTTTTTTTTTTTTTGGGTTTGTGTTCTGGCAAGGTGAAAAGATTTTTTTTCCTGGGAGCAGATTGCCAGATTGGGAACAGACTGTGAGCAAAGATGCTATCAGCAGATTTGGCTAGTTTGAGCTCTGGGATTTGTTGAAAGATTTTGTTCACTTATTGCAAAAACAACCTGTTGTCATGCAAACGGCGTTTCACAAAGAAAAAAAAAAAAAAGCCGTTTTTCAGATAGTTCCAAGCAGGCAAGATCATGTTTGTGTAGCACTTCTTGGCATTTTCGCCCACAAGAAAGGGACGGTATGGGTTATGGGTGGGCATTGTTATTCATGGTTTGGACTTGGAGTCCTTTTCTGGAAAATAAAACGTGCCTGTGTTCAAAGTCTTTGGTGGCATTACTTGCAAGCTGCTTAGCAATATGTTTGTGATCTACACACATGTAAGACTCGTCTTTTATTTTTCATTTAGATTCACAGACGGCTTCAGCTGAAGCCTGCTCCAATCCCGTTTGCTCAGTGGGTTTCTGACTGTTTGAAAGCTGTAAGGTAAGACGTGCTGTTGCTCTCTAAATGTTACGTGGTTTAAAAGTTAAGATTAGATTTACCTGATTATGGAGAAAAACACTCTTATTTTATGTTTGTTTTTCATGTTTTATAGAAATATTGCAAATTACACTTTTCTCAATAAGACATTGCTCAGGGCGTGATTTGAGCACCAACTAAACATTTTTTAACATTTATTTTGGACATTTTTACAGATTTAGTTTTTCATCCAAATACATTTAATTCAGACATTATCAATAAAGTGGTTATACCATAGTGGTCGAGCAGCTGTGGCTAAGTGGTTAGAGAAGTCGTACTCCAATGCGACAGTTGGGGGTTCAGTTCCACCAGCAGTCACATGCCTAAGTGTCCTTAGGCAAGACACTGAACCCCTCATTGCCTCCGATGTGTGTCCTATCAGTGTATGAATGTGATAAAGCACCGATTAATCTTTGTATAGATCTAGTAGAGTGCTGTATGAACGGGTAAATGAGGCACAGATTGTGTTGTAAAGAGCTTTGAGTATCTTGATCAGATAGAAAGGTGCTATATAAGTACAGATCATTTAGTGGTGAAAGCTCTCTATACATTTAGTGCATATTCTAGTCTTAAATGACAAAAGCAGCAAACTAATGTCTTTATTTCCTGTGGTCCTACTGAAAAATGCTGCATATGCATTGATTCATTTGTTTTAATTTGGACCACAAGCTGCAGAAAAGTGTCAGAGACTTGGACAGTCACCTCAAAACTTCTCTGTCGGGTAAAGACCTTCCTAAGTGAGCTCGGCTGTGGACAGTAGAGGACAGGGCCAAGGAGCCGCAATGACGAAATGCCTCATGGGAAGGCTGGAGGCAGATGGTTGGGCAGATGTGGGTCTGTTGTAGCCTTAAACGATTCAGAAACTTAAAGCAGGAAGCAGTACAAGTCTGAAAACCAAGTGACGTTATGAACAGTTCAGCAGGAGTGGCAGTTCTGTGGATCGCACTTTGCTTCTCTGGGGTTGTTTTGCTGTCAGCTGAACATAGAGACTCTTGTGTTGAGTCAGCTGGTCATTATGAGCACAGCTAATTCTATTTAGGAGAAAGCTCCATTGCAATTTGTTTTATTTCACATCGTTTGGGTTTAAGCAATGGCTTGTGAAGGAATCAAACTAAACATTTACTCGCATGCAAAGCTCTTGATAAGAAAATGGTTCTAAAGATCTGCTGAGATGAAGTTTTGGTGACGCCTGATGGACAAATATTTATTTTCCAGTGGGAAAAATTTGAATCACACAAAGTGTTGGTGTTGAAATACTTCATGAAGCTTTAAAATTGTAAAATGTCCCTCTTTTCAAACCACATAAACGCAAAATAAATCAACCTGAAAAATCCTAATCTAATAATTTCTTGCATTTCGTAGAGGAAAAATTAATCCATCAGGATTATTAATCAATAAAACAAGTTTCTATCAATCCAACAATTTATAATAAGAGTTATCATACCACGAACTCCTGTAATAAAACTGTGGAGAAGAAAAGTGAACGTGCATCAAAGCTCTTGTGACTTTTTCTTAAAACAAAAACTAAAACAACTAGAAAAAAACAATTTTTAAATATATGATAATAAACGAGCAACCTTATAAAATTTTATAATAAGCAGATTTATTTGTAATGAAATATAGGGGGAGGGGTGGCGCAGAGGTTAAAGAAGTGATCCTGTGATCGGAAGGTCGCTGGTTTGACTCCCTGGACAGACAACATATAAAATGTGGCTGGAAAAGGTGAAACAACCACACCTGCCTCTACCTTCATTTGCCCGACTCTGTGCCCTTGAGCAAGGCCCTTAACCCCCACCAGCTGCTCTCCCGGGCAACCCAGATGGCAGCCCTCTGCTTCACGCAGAGGACTGTGGTAGCTCGGTGGTCTGTGGTTGCTTCAGGAAGGGCATCAAGCTTAAAAACAATTGTCCCTGATGAAGGGAGCAGAAAGAGGGAATAAAAATTGTTAATGAAATTATTTTTTCCACCCATTTTCTGATTTCTGTCTTCAGCCCATCATCACTTTTTTGTGTGTCCAAACTATTCATGTGCGTTAACGTTTCCAAACAGGGACACATTCTAGACTTAGTATTTTTTTGCGTTTCAACTTTTGAACTTTTCTGTGTTTGTGTTGTATTGATTGCATAAGATTGAATTAGCAAATTGTGTTTCATTAGAGAACTAAAATTCCAACATCCCAAATGAGCTGCTGGAATGATTCAATATAAATAAGTCCTATTATAGTAACTTGCTCTTTCACTCGCTCTCTGAGGGATTGTTTAAAGAAATGGAAGTTTACATAGTTCTTGCACAGTAGTGATCTCGTGTCAATGCAACAAGAGCTACACTCCTAACACAACGGCAGACAGTGAAGCAAACACCACTATTGGCCTGAGACTGTGCAATCCTCTGGGGCTTTGAGCCCAGCAAAAGGAGAGCCATGATCAGAGCTGGGAACTAGATGGTGGGCTGCGGGTGTGTGGGGTGCTGTGAGAAATAAGAGAAGACAGAGGAGGGTAGAGGTGTCAGCTGTATAATTGGGGTGAGGAGATCTCTGGGGTGAATACAGGGAAGCTTTATTAAGACCGCTCCAGTCTGATGTGCTTGCACGGCCGCCTGGCTTTTCCTCGCACACCCACGCCAAACCTCCGTTTCCACCAGAGACTCCGTAACAACAAAGGGATGAAGGCCAAAGTCCTCAAGCTCTTCTCAGTCACAGATAAGACAAAATACCCTGTTATTTAAAACTCACTGATGGGGAAGGCAGTAGTGTGTGCATCTGTCTTTTCATTTCATTGAAGCTTATTGTGTCCTCTTAATGTACTTTTAAGCTAGCGCACTGTTAATAGTGGGGTTCCTTTGATTCTGTAGATTGTTTTATTTAATGATTTGCCAGTATTGCTTTCAGTTGCATACTAAGTAGGGCTGGGCGATATGGACCAAAATGAAAATCTCAATATTTTAAGATAAATCGCAATATATGATATATATATACACGTCTGTTTTTTTTTTGTTTGTTTGTTTTTCCATAAAGTAGTAACAAAAATATATTTCTGAGTCAAAGCTTTGGCCCAGTTGTCACACAGGCACATTTATTAACAACAGCTGTAACTGTACAAAATAAATGTCTAAAAAAATAAACTATTTACATATATTAAATAGTTTATTTTTTAAACCTTTATTTACAAATATTAAATAATAATCCTCCTCAGCTGTGCCGCCTTCATGACGTTAGTAAGCGTATGTGAACTGCAGCTGCAGGTCCAACAGACTTCAGCCACCTTCCCTGAAACAAACCACGGGTCAGAACTCATTTAGCTGTGCTGTGCCTTTATGAGAGGAAAGATGGCGCTACAACATTAATAAATCAGCAGCTTATCATATCGTTAAATACACGGTCCCAGTCTTGGTTATGGAACAAGACTGCTAAATCGTTAGCCATCTTGTTAGCCGCTAAGGACCGTGTCTTTAGCGATATGATAAGCCACGGCTTTATTAATGTCGCAGCACCTCACTGTCAATATTGATATAGTCTAATCTTATATGATATCGCCCAGCTCTAATGCCAAGTATAAAGCGTAATAAGCTCCCTGAATTGTTCTGCTTTCAATGGATCTGTCTCCTAAACTAATACCTATAATTTGTATTAACTCTTTTTGATGTGATATGAAGAAAGTTTCTTGCTCGCTGCAGATTGGTTCATGTTATTATTATACAATGGCATAGTTGCCCTACTTACATTACATAAAATCATGGGGTAAAAGAGCAAGAATCTTTGGGTTCACAAGAAAAAACATTCCCTGGGTGACTTCCCCTGTGACTGATCTCACAGTCTGATGGTGAGATCCGGCTGTTCTGTCGGCATTGAATTGTTGCTTTTTGAAGTACCCATATCAATAAATGAGTTCTTTGCTGACACATCTTTTTGGACTCCTTTATAAAAATGTTTTCGTCTCACTAAAGCTGTTTTTTTTTTTTTTTTTTGACTGACACAACAAAGATTTTTCTGCTGAAGCAGGAGGCGGTTGTGGGAAGAATTAGCAGCTTCCCCCAGATTGTGACTGTAAATTAGTTTCTTTGGAAATAATGAAAAAAGGGGCTGGAGATCTGTTCTCAGCGTCTGTAGTAGCTTGTTAATCCCTCACAGCTCTGACCGGCGGCAGAGCTGCTTGTGCATAGATGGTCCTTGTGGAGAATGGTCCTACTAGTCCTCCAGCCCTCTTTGGTCCTCTTTCCATTTGGTCCTGCAGGACTTGGCTAATCCTCTGCCTGGTCATGACAAGGAGATTGCGGGCTTTTCAAAGCTGGCTTGGACTTCAAAGTTGCAGGGATACTGGGACTTCAGGAGGTAAGAAAATTGAGTTTTACTATAAGCAAAGACTGCGAGGCATCTACCTTGGCTTTTCATTTACTATTCTTGAGATAATGTTGGAGAAAAATATTCTTGCTTTATCGTACTCAAAAAGAACTACACCCATGGCAGGAGAAGATTTGTAACCAGTATTTACTTGCAAGGTCAGATTTTCAGGACAGGTTACATAAATATCCATAAAGTACACGCATGAAGACCTGTCATGATAATCTGCCTCGAGCCACCTTCTCAGCTTGCTTTTATTCCCTTATCAGTTCAGTCAAATTCACAGAAGTTGGAGGTGTATGCTGCATCCTCACTCATCTACTCATCCAGCTCTCTGCTGACCCAAACATATGGTTCATGGGCAGAGTTAAGATTCTCAGCCATGGTAATAAAAACATGTATAACTTTTGACCCTAACAGATGACACTGAAAAATCCAAGTACAAGGTCCCATGAAGGCATAGCTGGTTTGAAAGATGACTCCTCATATTGGATTCCTAAAGGAATTAGTTAGCCTTTTTTATGTTAGTTTTTTCAGGGACACCAGTAACAAACATCCAAATGACAATAATCTTCTGAAACCACTGAAATAATGTAACTTATCCAGGGTGTATCCCGCCTCTCGCACA